ATTCAATTTTTAGTAGGTTTATTTATTTGTAAATAAATTTAGTATTTGTAAATAATTTGGGTATTGTTGTCCTCCCTGTAACAATTAGAAGCAACTGGTATATTTTTGGAATCAGCTCAGTTAGGGCAATCCGAAGATTGGAAAAAAAGTGGGGTGTTCGATTTAAAAAAATTGTGATGACGTCATTACTCGAACATAGGTCACCCTGTATATTAAATTATTATTTGAAAAAATAGTAAATTAAATTAAAAAATCGACCTGTTTCCGGAATTTTAATAATTTCTTTTGTTTACCTAATAATGAATTTGTGCACGACTTTAGGGGGACACTGTAGATAAATTTATTGACTACTTTTTATACAAAGAATTGTAGTAAACCAAACATATATCAATAATAGTAACAAAAAAAAATTTGAAATCAATAATGCACAGAGATAATAACATATAACTTAAAAAATTAAAATGGAAAAAAAGGAAGAATTAAAAAATGTCAATATAATATAATAATGTCAATATAATATGTATAAAAAAAATAACAGATTAACAAAACTTACATAACGACAAAAGTACAATTAAAATAATCAAGACAAAAAATAATTAAAAATTTAAAAACATAGTAGTAGCACTCATATACTCCTGCACCGAATAAAAACAATTTTCGAGAAGATATTCCCTGATAATTGGTTTAAATTTACAAGAGTTTATCTCTTTTACGGCATCAGGTAAAATATTGTAAAGATTTAACTGAGGTACATTTCTGGATCTACCATCCAGATTTAGTCCATAGAAAAAATATTTATCTATGATTTAGTCGAAAACGAGGCGGTCGCAAATAAGTCTATCGAGTATTATGTTGATGTACGTTAGAGTTACAAACAAACGTATTAATATTTTTGTGTATTTTCAAAAGTTGGTAAAATATAAAAGAGTAGGTAAAAGCATTACCCTCAGTGTTTTAAAATAAGGCTGACAGTGCAAGTTTTGCATTCTAAATATCTGTACAGCAGAAGAAGAGTTATCCCAGAGAGTAATACCGTAACATAAATGAGAGTAGAATAATGAAAAATATACTTTTAAGACAGCACTTTGACTAAAATTTTGTTTTAATTTATGAATAAAAAATAATAAAACGACAGTTTTTTCTTTAAAGAATGAACGTAAGGTGATCAACATAAACCTGTTATCAATAGTCAAACCCAATAATTCTACTGTAGATCCATTTGTAATATTATTATCCGAGGAAAACGTTATACGTTGAGTTTTATCCAAATTTAATTTAATATTATTATTTGCGAACCACTCATTGGCTTTATTTTCCAATACAGTTACATCAAATTGTAAGGAAACTGCATTATTATTGCTACAAATCAAGGACGTATCATCAGCGTAGAGAGTACACCTCTCAGGAGACAAATAGAAAGAAAGGTCATTCATATAAATTATAAAGAGTAGGGGCCTCAAAACCAAACTTTGAGGTACCCCGCTATCTGCTGCAGTTAGATCAGATCTATCATTTTTTAGAGAATAGTTCTAACTGCATCCCCCTAACACCATAACGGAAAAGCTTGTCAGTGAGGAGATCATGAGATATGCAATCAAAGGCCTTGCTAAGATCACATAGGGTAAGCCCAACCAGCTCTCCCCTCTCAAGTCTCTACCACGCAATTCACAACTTGGGAAATGGCATGCACTGTCGAAAGACCTTCTCTAAAGCCAAATTGACAACTGCCCAATAACTTGTTCGAAATAATGTAATTTGTCAAACACTTCTTAATCATTATTTCAAATATTTTACCAAAAAATGGTATGACCGAGATGGGACGATAGTTAATGGGAAAAATTACATCACCTTTTTGAAAAATAGGAACCTCTTTAGAGATTTTAATAATATTTGCGAAAATGCCACTTATTATAAATAACTGCCAAAGGTCTTACAAGTAAATCGGTAAATTCTTTGATGAAAAAACTAGAGATGTCATAAACATCGAAAATAGGAAATAATGGTATGGAAACTTTTATTTTGAGTCCTTTTTTTCCAAAATAAAAGTATCTTTTAACTAGTCAGCTAATTAAAATGATAGTTGATCACTACATATTATAAAACAAAGTCCTCCGCCGCGTCTGTCTGTATGTCTGTCTGTTCGCGATAAACTCAAAAACTATTGCACCGATTTTCATGCTGTTTTCACCAATGGATAGAGTGGTTTTCGAGGAAGGTTTTAGTATATAATTTGTTAAGTTTTTGTATACATTAACGATATTTGTTGGAGGTGTCGGAAAAAAATAAGCCGTCTGGGAGCTTTCAACGAAAACGCTGCCTAAACCCTTTGAGATATAACAAAATAATGTATGGTGGAATT